AACTATTGAGTGGCACTTCAGGACAGTGTAAGCCCCAAGATCATGATCAACAAGAGTTACTGATCAAATACCCTTTATGTTCCAGTCCCTCTGATAAGAATTTTAGGATCATAAGACCCAAAATGTGTAGTTTCTCATTAACTTGAGTTTTGGGATATAGAACAGCTAGACAAGGCACTCTTACCTATTGGCTCTTATAGAAATGCATCCTTCTATAGAGCTAGAGAGCGGTCCAAATACTTATAAATAAACCTTATGCTTTAAATATAGCAAGTATGTGATAAACATGGCATGGCTGGATCTGAGAAAAGATATTTCTGTTAATATCCCTTGTGGTTGAATCTAGTTTTTGATATCTTATAGTTGTGTAAACCTGGTTAGTCATGTAACCTCTACTCTTTAAACTGGAGATAATAATCACTTATAAAGCTCGTTCACTAACATGCCATTTGAGCAGAGCAGTTTTTTCATCTGTAATCACACTACACAGTAGTTGTTTTTAGAATTTATGATAATATGTTTACACCCTCCATTATCTCCATGCATGCTCATTTCACTCATGAACGGGGTTCCCAGTGCGTCAGAGACCTATGCACAGATCTGTCTGACATTACCACCATCCTTCTTGGTTAGATTGAATGGTACAAGAATGGCATTTGTCTGGAATGGGCAATACTCACAAACTTGCATGGCAGGATTTGTCTTTGTCCAGTTGATTAGAGGAAACTGAAGGAGGCTTTCCTTGCTTTTTATCTTTGAGTAATATACAACCTATTTGGGCTACTCAAAACATCAAAATATTAGTAAGATAAGAGAAGGAGAAGAGAATCTATATAGAAGAATTTTTTTAAGAGATTTGTTTTGCTACAGAGCATGTATGCTCACCAGAGAGACAGAAAGCAGGAAATTACCCCTCAGGGGCATGGCCATGCCACAATCCCTTCTCCTCTGGGGATTTTGGGCAAACACACACATAGTTTCAAGTGAGTTTCAAGCCACCAAGTTCGGGACTCAAACCATGATCGACTACGTGGGGGTCCAGCAACATAATCATTATACCATCTTCTGGTCCCTATATGAAGAAACATTTAAAAGGATTCTGAATTAGTTATGTTTGAAGCAAGTTATGCTGGAACAAAGTAGCCAAGTCTTAGTACTGATGAAAGTTTATTTCTTGTCCATACTGTATGCCCAGAACAAACATGCAGAAAGTTTTCTCCTGTAGACACTCAAGAATTAAGGACAAAAGGGGCTTTCCCTTGGCATACACATATGCCAGCAGAATGTGGAAACTGTGGGATCAGAATGTGGATGGCATAATGCTTATGTCACTGGACTCCCACATAGTTAACTGGAGTCCAAGTCCTGGACCTAGCAGCTTCAACTCACATGGGCCGTGTGTGCATGCATGCCCAAAATCTCCAGAGGAGAATGGAGGAGAAGGGATTGCAGCGTGGCCATACCCCTGCGGGTGTGTGTGTGTGATTTTTTACTCTGTCTCGCTGCTCCTCTTGGTCTTTCTGGTGTGCACACATGCAATATAGCAAAAATCTCTCTCTAAAGAAGGAAAAAAAAAGAATGTGGAGAACTGCACAAACCATTTATAGAATCTAAGAGCTTCTGCCAGGAAGTGATGTCTATAATTTTTGCTAACATTTCTTGGTCTAAAGTGAATCACATGACCATGAAGTAACCTGTTTTAGTAAAAATTTTTAGTGTCCCTACTATGTACCAGAGACGGTGATAGACACAGGATTATAGACACAAACAATCCAAACATTGACCAAGGAACTACAAGTATAATTTATGGTACCAAAGTGAACATCCAGCCCTGTGAGAGTCCACAGGTTCGGGCAGTAAAACAGAAGCCATTGTTAAATGCTTAAGTCAGCCTATAAGTAGTAGGTCTATATTAGGTGCTACCAAACTATAGCTTGTGGGCCAGTTGTATTTTTTGGTAAATACATTTTTATTTGGTAAATACATATCTCTGTCCATTCTTTCAAGTCTTATCCATGGGTGCTTTCTCAGTACAATGCAGAGTTGAGTAGGTAAGAAGGATGCTGGTAGGACCCACACCCCTATATACTATTTATTTCCCAGTTCTTTGAGAAAACACTTGCCAGATTCTAATCGATATAATGGCTAACAACCAACAGCAAGAATACTTTTAACTTTTAAAGTTGAAGTGCATGAAAAACTCTTCTTCCTGGCTCTATTATATCTCACAGGGTTGACACTGCCAAAATTCTTGCTTATTGGCCTGTGAAAGCCAGCCTAACAAATAAGGGCATTTCTCTGTGCTGGCCTGAAGGAGATCATCAGTTTTGCTGGATTATTTTTATACAAAGCAAAAAGAGCTTTTCCAAACATGAGGTGGTTGGGCTATCCCTCATTCAAACCAGAAAGAAAAGAAAACAGCACGGAGACTGTATCCAGAACCAAGTGTTGATGTATTGACTTTGGCAACTCTTGAGCTCATGTTTACCTTGTCATGACAATAAAGTTATTGAAATTGAAGTTGAATCAAATTGACAGACACCAAGAACTATTGCTAAACTGGCCCAAGCACATATTTTATTTATAGGCTTCAGCATAGTATATTATATTGGTATTTATTAAAGGCTGAAAACCCCAAACTAAGAAACAGTCCAGATTAGAAGAGCAAATTGGACAACCGCTGTTGACTTATCAGACTATTACATACAATGTGATAAGAATGGTGACCCTCAGGGGTGGCAGTGACATGGCACAGTCATTGTTAGCATTGGGAACAAAATAATGATCCCTTCCAAACTAAAATAACATTTGTAAACCACTTGCCCAAACCTAGTTGTTTTTTTTTAATCAATAGTCACATAAGACTTTTCATATATATATATATTTTTTTTTTTTTGGAGAGGGTTTTGCTATAGGGCACGTGCGCTCTCCCGACAGACAGAGAGAGACAGAGAGACAGAAAGTGAGAAATCACCCCCTGGGGGAATGGTCACGCCGCAATCCCTTCTCCTCCATTCTCCTCTCGGGATCTTGGGCACGCACGCACAGGCGCCCGGTGTGAGTTTTAAGTCACCGGGTCCAGGACGCGAACCGCGGTCAACTACGTGGGAGTCCAGCGGCATAGCCATTACGCTAACTGCTGGTCCCAGTATTTTCATATTTCTAAAGATGGAATTCTGTTACTCTCTCCCCACAATTTTTCTAGTCTTCTTTCACTGTTCAGTTACTTAAATATGCAACAGATCTGAACTACATTATTTCCTTTCAATATTCAACCCTGTTTATTGCTTACTCTCTCACCATAACAGATTGATTATATCATTAATCCCAATAAGAATGGTAGGACAGGTCCTTTATCTTTTAAGAGGGAACAAAGTATAAAAAGAAAGAGGAGAGAATGATTCTAAAATATAAGATGATATCAACAAGTTCATGGAAAAATGGAATCAAAGTGCAAGTTTATTATGGTACAAAAAAGAATTGGAATCCATGCATAATCATTATTAATTCTTTTCATTATAGTCATGTTCCATGAACTTTTTGAAGTCACTCACATTTTGGAAAGCACACAATAAGCCACATTATATACAAAATGTTTACAAATGGCGTGAGGCTGTGGGTTTTCCTGGCATATTGGGCTGATTATTGATTAAGTTTGCTCAGAGGGGATTTGAAGTGAGCTTTGAATAGAATTTGGAAGGAAAGAATTCATGACATTCTTGGATACGTTAGGTCAGGAATCAGTAAACTAAAGTCAAAATCTGGTTTGCTGGCTATTTCTGGAAAGTAAATTTTATTGAACCACAGCCATGCCCACTCACTTATGTATTATCTACAGCTGCTTCTATGCAAGAGTAGGCAAAATTGAGCAGTGGAGACAGAGAACTACCTTGTACATCTAAAAGAATTTACTATCTGGCTATTTAAGAAAAGGTTTGCTAACTCTGTTTTTCAGAGGTGAGAACCCTAAGCAGAGGCACAGATGGGCCAGGAGCACTTGTATTTCAATTACAAAGTGACCGGGACATGGGTGTGCATATTTCACTTGATTTCCTTTAGTTATTTCCTGGTCCCAGGCATGGTGGAACAGCAGTAGTATGCCATTCGATGCGATGCTGGAACCCTGCAGAAAACGGGGGTTCAGGTTTCCAGGTTGACTTGTATATTAACCATGCCTGGTGTATGCAGGCCCCTCTGTGATCCAGGCTTACAGGGAGGATTGGAGATCTCAGTATCATGAAACTTTGTTGAAGATGTCTTATTTCTCTCTCTCCTCCACTGTTTCTCCCTGTCTCTTATTAGATAAGTAAATAAACTAAAAACTTCATTACTTTAGTAACAAGGAAGGTCCATGTACCCACTATATGAACAGAATCCTAACCTGTTCTCTGGCTTTAAGTCTCAAGCAAAGTTCTCTTAACATTTTTTTTTATTTTGATTTATTAGAGCTAAATTTAAAAATATATTTAAAAATACCTATTTAATGACCACAATAAGCATTCACAGATATGTATATATCAACTGAACTTGCTATTGGAAGTAGTTAGATTAAGATATTTTGTGAATCAATAAAGTGTGTGTGTGTGTATATATATATATTATATTTATGAAATAAATGGAAAATTCTTTGTTGACAATAGCATGTATAATTAAGCCACTATACAGTGTATTCTGGATGGGAAATTGCATATTGTACACTGTGATGATCAGTGAATGAATGTAAAATAGGTAAATTAATTTAAAAATTCAACGTATAAGAGGATAACCACGTATCTGCTTGAGTCTTAATTTCTTCATTTGAAAAATGCAATAATGTCACTTACCAACAAATCTCTGAGAGAAGGCTATGGGAAAATCTTTTTCTCATGGCACATGGTGTGTGTGTGTAGGGGTATGCCCTGAATCTGGCTTCCCACTATGACTCAAGTGGGAACCTCATGCCACCATTGCTGAATTGAGATCAATGTTCACAAATAATCTAACTTTTCCAAATGTTTTAGCATCTTCTTGTGACTGAGGGACTACCTGTTTGACTGCATCATTCCTCCAGATTTTACTTCTGGATTCCTCTGTATCACCCAAGTTTCGACTGGGGTTTGAACCTGGGAAGCGTTCACAATAAATGGGAAAGGAAGACAAGAAACATGGCATTACTTGAAATATGTCCCTACCCAAGGTAGGACTTGTTGGGAATAGAAAAATTATACTTTGAACATTCCACCGCTCCCTTTTTCTTTTCAAAATTTGGGAAGAGAAGCCTTTCCCAGGACTACATTAGCAACAGAAATATTCTAAGTACTCCCAAGCGATACAGTCCAGCTGTGAAACTAGTCCTGCCTCATGTATAATGCACCAAATGCCAAGCTGCAGAGTTTAGAGTCATTTTAAGAATTATATGTGGAGAGAAACACATTTTCCTTTGGAAGGCACTACTAAATTGAAGCTCATGCAAATATGCTGGAGACATTTGCATTTACACTCTAATCTCCCAACCCCTGCCTAGAATCTGAAATGTGCTTCGAGTGTATACATACGTTTGCATTATTGCTTTTATTCCATACTCTGATTTGGAAGATGGGGTAAAAGTAGTTATTCCCATTTCTTTGGATAGAAAGACTGAGGTTCCACGTGGGAATACGTTTATTCTACACACACATCAGGATGCTAATGCTCAGATGTGGAAAGGATTCTGACGTTTTGGGGAAGGTAAGTTTCATATTCCCTACAAGTTTTCTGCCTATCTAATATTTAACTACATATATAATGTGTGTGTGTGTGTCTTCCTGTCTGTACCTACATATATATATGGGGGTATTCAAAAAGTTCTTAGAAAATATGTATTATAAAGAAACTATGTATGGATTTCCAAAATATTTCACACCAAAATAAACTCATACTTTAATTTCACTTTTCCACAAACTTCTTGAAGTCCCCTGTTTAGCTATGTCTAATCTATACCTACATCTATCTTTGTCTACATCTGCATCCATAGCTGCCTATTATCTATCTATCTATCTATCTAATGGATATTGGCATTTAATAAGTGTCTTTCAGAGAGAATTTCATAACACAAGCTTCTTCTCTGCAGTCACAGCAGATGGACTCAATGTGGACATTGAGAAAGATGCTACATGTTCTTCCTTTCATGGAAACTTCAAGTCTAGGAAACAGAAGAGTGTGATTCATACCTCCAGAGACCCACAGGGAGTGTCACGCTCCATAAAATTACTTATGCATTTATATACGTGCTTCAGCACCATCTCCTGGCAAGGGGATACAAGTTAAGCACCTTCCATATGCAGCAAGGAAAACCCCTTCGGCAAGAAAGTCTACCCATTGGCATGCACAAATCAGACTAGCTGCAGTTTTGCTGTGTCAAAAGGAACATTCACCATGCTTAATGAGAGGCACTGGATTAATGCTGGCTGTTTTTAGCAGAAGGAATGTTCAGATGCTTGGGAAAATGGGAAAACAAGGTACCTGGAGGGCACAGTGAAGGTCATGTACTCACACTGGAAAACGTGGGTGGTTTTTTTGTTTTTGTTTTTATGCCTGTAAATACAGTCTCCAGTACGTATGGTGTCTGTGTGTGAAATACACATCTGTATTTTAGGTCCTTCTAGTGCCACTCATGTTTAATTTATAACGCTGGAAGACCAACACTATCTTGTCACTGAGGACCAGACAACCCTTCAAGTAGTCTTTTTCTCCTTTACAGAAAGAAAGTCCTGAGAACATGGTTGTAGCTGGATATATCCCTAGACCTCTCACTTTGTGTGCCAACTTGATTGTTCTTTCCATTAATTTTTCACACAATTACTCTGAAGTGCTCCAAATTGGCAACTAAGAAGGGCCAAATGACAAGATATCAATTTTATTTTCAAGATATTGTTACTTTAGAGTCTCAGAGAATGTGGGTGATACTCTCTTGGAAAGAGAACATTTTGAAAGTATTTAATAAGGGAAATTTTGTGGTCAAATTCCAAAACTGATTTAAAGAGATATTTATTAAGAAAAATCTATTTCTTTGACCAGTCTTCCATGGTACCTATAATTTCTACCCTGAGCTTTATAATAGTTTTTTAGGTTATAGCATGTTATTTTACAATGCCTCTGAGAATATGTATCTTCTAGAAATTCAAGACAGAAGAATTGTATCTTTGGTATACTGTTTCTTGGGGATATACTTGAATAAATCTGTAGATCTGAATAGTACGTCCACTAAAAAAAAAAAAAAAAGTCGCACAAACAGGTAAGTATTGATTGATAGTAGGGGGGATGCATTCATTCAATCATCTGTTTTTCCAGGCATTCCATGTTTCTTTATTGAACGTAATTCAGTAATTTTCTATTCGGGGAATTGAATGTCCTGTGGAGACACTCGTCCTAGGTTTGGTGAAGGCAATGAGGCCACGAAGCATTGAGGTTCACCAGACTTCCCTCAGAGGAGGAAGGAATGTTGACAGTCAGGAAAAGAGTCAAGGAAAAGAGGAATCAGGGTAGTCAAAGAATCGAAGTCACGTGTGTCCCATACCAGCCTTTCTTCTCATTGATTCTGCCCACTTTTTGCATCAGAGCATAACCACAGTGTCAGAAGAGACTTTTGTGAATGAGACTCCAGACAACTGTCAGGGTGAAGTGGCATCCAGCACATCATGTTGGCCTGTCCAGGAATACACGACTGGGCAGTGGCTGTCTGCCATGGCCCTCTACTACCCATCAGGGGTAGTAAGGCTCTGAGCCAAAATTTTAACCTTTAAGTCAATAAAAGGATGTTTTAAAAATGTGGAAAAGACTAATAGATCAATAAAGCGAGTACAAAGGCTATGCAGGTTCCATTATCGTGAAAGTCAAAGTGATGATCAACTTGATGGTCTACAAGGTTCTCAATCTATATCCCCCACTTCCTTTAGCTTCCAGTACTTTTCCAAATTCGGCTCTCTATCCATCCATTAGGCACATGGGGATGGGGAGCTACATTGGTGTCCACAGTATGTAGAATGACACCTGCCAAACAGTAGGCACTCAGCGTGATTCTTTAAAGCAACACATGGACATTGATGTGTTAAGGGCTCTGTTCTATAACTTCTCTGAGTCCCGTGTGCCTCATTGAAAAAGATGAAAATGCTGTTTATTTTTTTAGAGTTGTTAAGAGGATATAACAGGACCAGCAGATGAAGTAATGGTTACATCACTGGATTCCCACATGGCCAACTGCAGGTTCGCGTCCTAGACCCACTGGCTTCAAACTCACACCGGGTACATTTCCTGAGAAGAGAATGAAGAAGGGATCGCTGCATGGCCATTCCCCCAGGGGGGTGATTTCTCACTTTCTGTCTCTCCGTCTTTCTCTCTCTCTCTCTCTGGAGAGCACATGTACCCTATAGTGAAAATCTCTCTCTTAAGAAAAAGAAAGATATAGGGACCAGCAGTTGGCATAATAGCTATGTCACTGGACTCCCATGTAGTCGACCACGGTTTGAATCCCGGACCCGGTGACTTAAACTCACACTGGGTGTGTGTGTGCATGCCCAAGATCCTGAGAGGATAATGGAGGAGAGGGGATTGCAATGTGGCTATTCCCCCTGGGGGTGATTTCTCACTTTCTGTCTCTCCATCTATCTCTGTCTTTCTGGCGAGTGCATGTGCCTTATGGCAAAAATCTCTCAAAAAAAATATATATATAATAAGAAAAGATATTATACATAAAGATCCTGGCAGAGTGTCCTACACAAAGTTTATGCTCAAAGTAATCATCAGTTTTTCTGCCTCTCCTCTTGTATTCTTATGAATGTAATCATCGTAGCTAATATTTATAATACTTTTACTCTACGTCAGGTTCAATATTGCCATTTTATAAGCATTGTCTTACAGATGTTTCCCAACCCTGTGTAGTAAAAACTATTAGATTCCTATGTTTGGGATGACAATTAGAAAGGTTCGTTTCCCCCCTAAAGTCATACAGTGAATAAGCAGTCAAACCAGGGTGCAAATGTCCTTTACCTCATCCCATCACCTGGTACTTTGTCACAATGCTTTACCACCAAACTTAACTGCATTCTCAAGTTTGAGTCGTGCCTCTATTATATGACTAATATATTACCTCTGTTCTGATAGTTGGGATCTGAGGGTATTCTTTACCACTAATAGACGTCATAGTTCATTTACATGTGTATTTTGTTTTGTATAAACAGGATGAGTTAAATGGCCCAGCTAAGTTGACACATTTGTCTGAATCATCCTCATAAAACTCCATCTCTGACTATGAGGGGTTGATATCAAGGTCTTCACAATATATAAAATATATTTATAGGGGCCAGCAGGTGGCATGGTGGTTAAGAGTGCTGAACTCCCACATGGCTGACTGTGGTTCAAGTCCTGGACCTGGTGGCCTGCTTTCTCGCTTTCTCTCTCTCTCTCTCGTCAAATTAAAATAAAGTCAAAACAATTTTTTTAAATAATAAATTTATAATTTGTTATTGATTTTTCACTCGCAAACAGCAATAATATAAAATTATATTTGCTCATATTGTTTTGCAGATAGCATTATTTTTGAGAGATTTTTGCTATAGGGTGCGTGCACTCACCAGAAAGACAGAGAGAAACAGAAAGTGAGAAATCACCCCATGGAAGGATGGCCACACTACAATCCCTTTTCCTTTCGGGACCTTGGGCACACACGCACATGTTCCCAGAGTGAGTTTAAGCCATCAGGTCTGGGATTTGAACCATGGTCAACTACATGGGAATCTAGCGACATAGCCATTATGCCAACTGCTGGTCCCAGCAGATAGCATATTTTTAATCCTCAGACAAACCCTATTGCATAGGCTTTATTATCCCATTTCCACTATTGGGTCATTGGAGAAGTTAGAATAGCTGCCTAAAACCACACAGCTCATAACGGGTAGGCCCTGAACTTTCAGTCCGTATCCAAGTGTCTGCCAGTGCCCCACGTCCAACTATAAGTAGTTGGAGGATGATGTCATCAAAATTTTGATATTTCTCCATAAATATGTGAGGAGCAATGACTTCATCCAGCTGTTGCACGTCTATCATCAAACAACATTCCCAGGATGTGTGTGGCATGAAGAAAGTGTTAGTCCTCCTCACTTTCCTCAATGCGAGTGGGACCTGTCTGTAAGGACCGTGCGGTGTGCATTCACATACTATTGGGTTGTCAGAGTCATGTAGATTTCTGCATGGAATCAGGAAAAGAAGTCGTGACTTCCAACAACCTCATACTCTCCTTTTATACTTTATGTAATTCCATGACCGTTGCAACAGAAGGAGCTCAAAGAATCTCAGTGTGTCATGGTCAACTCTAAATACTAGTATCCTGTAAGATGTTAGCAATTTTCCCATTATGGACTGTTCTTCAAAAGCAAGGGAGAGTATCATTTCCAGAAGTTATTTTAGGTTCTTTAAGCTCATTTCAGGTCTACTGAGGTTGAAATGTTGAGGAAGGTATTAAAGTAATATTTGGGGTAAAAAGAAAGAAAGAAAGGAAGAAAGAAAGGTATTAAAAGTAATATTTGGGATAGAAAGAAAGGAAGGAAGAAAGAAAGAAAGAAATTATGAAATCTGAATTCCAGCAGTTGATTTCCTAGGCCTTACTATAACTCAAGAACCTAATTCAGTCTAACTCCAACGCCTGTGCTCTTAACCATTATATTCAACTATAAAGTGCCGTATAAATGTGAGGATTTATTATGCCTTTTCTTATACCATTATTTCACATGGAAATTTCTCCTCTGGAATGACTTCATAAGAACTTAAAGTTCCTGGCTACAGAAACCTTCTTCACAATCATTTATTTAAGAAACTGAGTTGACAGTTGCTCTCAGAAGTATCTGAAAACAATGCCCAGAACGACTTTGGCATAACAACTCAGATACTCATCAAGTGTCTATTTGACCACTTTGGCTGAATGGAGAGGCCCTTCGCTGTGAAATAACAGGCAGTTCAGATAAAGCATTTAAATGGGCTGTCTAAAACCAAGGGTTGGCAATTTTCCCAAAGCAGTGTGCCAAGTTTCTGACCTCTTCCTGGGTGGAGGGAAGGTGGCAGGCTTGTCTCTTGTTGTTGATGTTCTCAGTTGCCAAGGGTGTGTGCCTGCCAGCCGCCAAATCAACTATTGGTCAAAAGAGGATATGGAGACCACTTCTGTAGAGTAGATTAGGCATCTGGAGAAATTGCATTAATTTGGCCACGCTACTCAAAAATGAGTCAGGAGCACTTCAGCATCCCAACAGCTTTGGCAGTGTGGCCAAGTGCAAGGCATCCTACCACCCATGGTCTCCTTCTCTTTAGAAAATTCCTCAGCATAAATGGAAAATGTCTTTCTTCTACCTGATGGTTTGCTGTTATAATCTCTGAACAAATTACCCAGTGTCACTGTTCTCATGCTCCTCCACATTTTTTACCAATGGCACATTCTCTGAGGTGGGCTTATTCTACCATCTGAACTCATTCTTCAACACCTGTCTCAGTTTTATAAGAAATAGCACCATTATGGGATGGGTCTACTTGTGCAGACACCAGACCTCATCACACTCACACTGTACATTCTGTCTTATAGATCCACCACAGCACACTGTGGCTTCTTCCGGGTGTGGCAAAAGCAAAACCAAATACATGATGAAGTGCCATAAAACTACAAGTCATCAAGGTGCATGACCACATCCAAAAGTTCAGCAGAGGGTATCATTAATATTTGAGAAGACTGCCCACATCTTGGCAGGAACTCTGCCCACAACGTTCCAATTAGCATATTTTATGGCTGGAAAGATTCTGGTTTTTCCATTGTAAGTACTTTGTATAACTGAAATCTTATTCTGTCAGATAAGGTACAAAGGAGTGTGTACAACTTTACCCAGACTCAGACTTAGCTGTAAGATTAATATGACAGAGCCCTCCCTCAAGTCTTCTTTGAGTTCGCCTGGAAGTTCTCTTCATTATGTCTTCAAAATATTCTGCTTTGCTAATGGGACATTATTGGCGTTCTTTTCTCAAAAATTATTAATTTAATTTATT